AAAAAAAAAGATGGCCCCTCAACCATAGTACAACTTAACTGGTTGGCTCTATAAGATTGGTATCTCAGGAAATGAATAGAACCTGCTCTAAAACGTCCAGCTACATACCATGAACAAGGCAAAAGATGTCATAAATCCTTCTTTTGTTAGCTCCCAGGTGCCACCATATTCTTCTTCATCGATCTGTAGATAGTTGCTGAAGTAGAGGTACAGGACTCCTGCATTGATCAGGCAGAATCTGGAATGAGGGAAGACAGGCACCAAACACAAGCTTAAGCTTAGAAGACTCAAAGCTCCCACCAGCAATGTTCAGCTGCTAGAGCACTCACTGTGTTCCACAGCTCGTGTTTGTCTCTCTTACCACCAGGCAGGGATGACCTGGAGAGAAACAAGTTTTGGGCTCAGGAAAACCAGTTCAACATGTTTTCCTTCATTGTTATGAGAGCTGTGTAAGGCTTTTAATATCTGTAAAATGGGGATGCTGAAAAATATGTGGCAGTGACAAGCAAAATACTACTTTAAAATTCCCAGACCCTCAGTGGAGCTGCCCATCTGACTGGGCTAGAGATGTGCTTATCTAGTAGGCATGAAGCCCTGCGTTTGATCCTCGACACTGCAAAACAATGAAAATTCAAAGTATACAGAAGTTTTCCAAGCCTCCTCCTCCTCCCAAAGCAAAACATAATGACTTATACCAGATGTGGGCCTTCACATGACTCCAGATGAGGGGTGGCTATGGGATAAATGGTAAGCTGCTGCTTCACGTCCTCACTGCACAAGGAGCAGCACATGTCCCCTGCACTGTTCCCTAGGGCAGATATTTGGGATGTCTACCATCTGCTGCTGGTTTTGATGCACAGGTGATTACAGCAGCTCTTGTTCTATTAGGGGCCTAAGAATAGCAACTAGAGTGGAGCTGAAACCAGTGGTTTGTTAACAACCCCAAGAAAGTCTCTGACCCCCAAAACATATTTCACCAATACAGGAATTAGAATGAAGTGAGCAGAAAAAATATGACCGTTCTTATCTCTTGTTTTCTTCCCCCAACCCAGTACCGGGGATTGAACCCAGCAGTACTCTACCACTGAGCTACATTCTCAACCCTTTTTATCTTTTATATGAGACAGAGTCTAAGATGCCCAGGCTGGCCTGGGATGGTAGGTGGTTCCATTGTGCCTGGCTTCATCTCTTGTTTTCACAAAGTTTTTCTACCTCTCTTGTGATCTTTAAGTTATTTAATCGAATTTAATGGGGTATCATGTGCCTCAATTCACATCCCTTCTGAAGACAGAGATAAAAAATGCAATGGTTGGGGTGTAGCTCAGTGGTAAAACAAGTATTTAGCATGTGCAAGGCCCCAGGTTCCATCCCCAGAGCCAAAAGAAAAAAGCAGAAGCCAGGTTCTGTGGTGCACATATGCCTGTAATCCCAACAGCTCAAGAGGCTGAGAAAGAACTGCAAGTTCAAAGCCAGCCTCAGCAGCTCAGTGAAGCCCTGTCTCTAAGTAAAATACAAAATAGGGCTGGGGATGTGGCCCAGTGGTCAAGAGGCCCTGAGTTCAATCCCGGGTACAAAAAAAAAAAAAGCAAGCAGAGAGAACTGGTTCCTCCTAAGGGATGAAGTGTGCAATGAAGTGTGCATTGGTGTAAGGCAGTACAATGGTGCCTGACAAGTGTAAACTGGCTAATGAAGGGTGAGGAGACCCTGAGGCTGAGCAATGATGGGTAGGTAGGGTGTGCAGATTCAAGAGTCTAGTTTGAATAGTGAGAATATGGGCTTTTTCCTGAGTGAAAGGAACAGGGGTGGGAAAGACTGGTGTAGGCATGTACTCAGATTTCAGGACAGGAGGGCAAATACAGTTTGAGGACAGGGTCTGTGCAGTTAGCTGAATGAGGAGATAAAAAGGGCCAAAGGCTTTAAGCCTAAAGGCCTGAGGAGTACAATGGTTTCAATAACATCACCAGGGAGTCAGGAGGAACAGAGGTTTTTCTTGGACTTCAAAATATAGTTGTTGCCTTGGCCATGTTGTGGACACATACTTATCACCTGCCAGAAATCTTGAGACCCAGCCAAATCTGTTTACCTTTCTTTGATAGCTTCATTTTGGACAGACTGACTAAGTGGTTCTAGTTGGAGACTACAGATAGAAGTTCAGGTTCAGACAAAAGCTGGTCTGGAGAAGAACTGTGGAGCCAAGGAGCAAGGATAGCGAGAGAGAGAAAAAGGCTGACAGGCCCTGCCCTCCTGGGATTACATACTAAGTAGAAATTGAAGTCACACAAATAAAGACACTTAAATCCAATATTTGGTGGTCAAGGGAGAAGAGTAAGAAAGGTCAAAAGTTTAAGGCCTGTCTGGGTAACTTAATGAGACTCTGCCACAAAATAAAAAGGACTAGGGATATAGCTCAGTGGGTAAAGTGCTTGCCTTACATGCACAAGGCCCTGATTCAATACCCAGCACTACAAAGTAATTAATTAATTAATTAAAAAGGGCCGGGATATAGAGCTCCTGAGTTCAATCCCCAGTACCAAAAGAAAAAGGACTCATACTAAGCTTTAAGGATGAGTACAATTTGTTTTATAAATGAAGGAGAGTTGCACAACAACTGTGAAGACAAAGAAATTAATGTATCAGATAGGGGCTGAGAAAAGAACATGAAAAAAACTTTTTCACACTTTTTAAAAAAATTCTATCCTAGGGCTGGGGGTGTAGCTCCATGGTAGAGCGCTTGCCTAGCTTGTGTGAAGCCCTAAATTGGATTCCCAACAGTGTGAAAACAAATTTTAAAAGTAAGATTAAAAGTCTACCCTTGGCTGGGCACAGTGTGGCGCACACCTGTAATCCCAGAAGCTGGGGAGGGGGGCGGAGGCAGGAGGATTATGAGTTCAAAGCCAGCCTCAGCAAAGGCGAGACTAGGCAACTCAGTGAGAACCTATCTCTAAAAATAATACAAAATAGGGCTGAGGATGTGGTTCAGTGGTTGAGTGCCCCTGAGTTCAATCCCCAGTACCAAAAAAAAAAAAGAGAGTCAATGGAATTCCTATAACTCCAGCTACTAAGGAGGCAGAGGAAGGAGGATCACAAGTTCAAGGGCAGCCTCAGCAACTTAGTATGATACTGTAAACAATAAAAAGGGCTGATGATGTAGCTCAGTGATAGAGGACCCCTGGGTTTGAACCCCAATAGTAGGAGGGAAAAAAATTTTTTTTGAAGAATTCACTGAGCATCTATTCTGATATGCCAAGCTCTAAGAGAGACCCAGAGGTAGGAGGCAATGGGCACTCTGATAATGCAAAACCTCAGCAGGCAAAGCAAAACTGTTAACTCTCAGGCAAATTATAAATAAGGAGACCAAGGAAATGGTTTTATATTAACTGGCTCTAACTGGAGGCCATAACAGAATAAAATGAAGAGCAGCAAGCTGGGGTCTGGACAGAGGGCAGTTAAGCAGGAAGGGGAGAAGGTCACCAGAAATGAGCAACAGGGCCATCCTGCCCTAAACCAAAGCAGCTGGGTCAAACAAATAGAGAAGGAGATGTAGGGAAAAATCAAAGTACTTGGCTCTTTCAATGAGCAGGGGAAAAGTCACCAACCAAAAGAGGGAAGAGATTTGTCTGGGGTGAGAGAAACTGGCTCTGGCTAAACAGTGTGGGACTGAATCCCAGAAAACAGGCAGTCCTGGAAGAGTGGCACCGCCCTTATTTTGAGACAGGGTCTCCCCAGGTTGTTTAGGGCCTTGCTGATCTGCTAAGGCTTGCTTTGAACTCATGACCCTCCTGCCTCAGCCTTCTGACCTGCTGGGATTTCAGGCGAGCACCACTATGGCCGATTCAGGTCATGTTTTACCACTCTTCTTGAAGCTAGTCATGTACCAATGGCACTGAAATAGTCATGGAGTGCCTGTGATGTACCCAAATGTGACATTTAGCAATTAACTTACATAATCTCATTTATTTATTATTTATCTCTCTTATTACCTTCCTTTTACTGAAGAGGAAACAGATTTAGAAAGGTAAGCTCTAAATTATGTATTATGAAAGTGGCAGACCTAGAACTTAGAACAATTTGTAAGCCTTAAACTACATGCTGCTCCAGATAGTGTGATGGAATCTCATGTTGTCCGAATCCATCCTGTCTAGGACATGAAACATCCCTTTGTCTACCACATCCACACAGTATATGCTACCTACCACGCTCAGGCACTCACTCAGTAGGCATCTTGATTATCAGATTGACTGTGGCAGTATGGCAGTGCTTGTATTCAAGTAACCATAATTTTACTTACTAATGGCCCCCAAAATGAAGAAACAGTGATGCTGGCAATTTGGACATGCCAAAGAGAAGCCATAATGTGCTTTCTTTAAACATAATCTAACATTATCACTGGAAGATAATGAATACATTACAATAAGATATTTTGAAAGAGAGAGGAAGAGACCACATTCACATAACTTTTATTACAACATATTGTTATAATTTGTTGTTTTATTTTTAGTTGTTAATCTCTCATTCTGCCTAATTTATAAACATCATCATAAATATATAAGTATAGGAAAAAACAATATACATAGCATTTAGTGCTTTTCATAGTTTCAGGCATCTACTAGAGGTCTTGAAATATATCCCATCTGGATAAGGGGGGCTATTGTACATTTCTTTTGGATTATCTTTTTCAGTACCAGGAATTGAACCCAGGGTACTTAACTACTGAGCCATATCCTCAGTCCTTTTTTGTATTTTATTTAGAGACAGGGTCTCACAGAGTTGCTCAGGGCCTTGCTAAGTTGCTGAGGCTGGCTTTGAACTTGTGATCCTCCAGCCTCAACCTCCCAAGCTGCTGAGATTACAGCATGCACCAACACACCTGGTTCTTTGGGGTTATTTTCTGAGAAAACAGAAATGGGATTAAAGGCATAATGCCACTGTGCCTGGCTATATTTCTACTTTTTTTTTTTTTTTTTTAAAGAAACTTGCAGGGCTGGGGATGTGGCTCAAGCGGTAGCGCGCTCGCCTGGCATGCGTGCGGCCCGGGTTCGATCCTCAGCACCACATACAAACAAAGATGTTGTGTCTGCCGAGAACTAAAAAAATAAATATTAAAAAATTCTCTCTCTCTCTCTCCTCTCTCACTCTCTCTTAAAAAAAAAAAGAAAGAAACTTGCAGCTGAAACTTTAGGTTGGGGGATCAGGTGCCACTCAGCTGCAAGTATTTTTTTTTTTTTTAGAGAGAGAGAATTTCAATATTTATTTTTCAGTTTTCGCAGACACAACATCTTTGTTTGTATGTGGTGCTGAGGATCGAACCTGGGCCACACGAGCGCGCTACCACTTGAGCCACATCCCCAGCCCTATATTTCTATTTCAATGTTTGAAATGTATTTCATCCCTTATACCCCAAAGAAAAGGAATCGTAAGAAATAGGACTACCCTGAAACAACCAATGTGGTTTTCCATGGGAACAGGACACTTATATTGCCTGTATGAAAAGAAAAAAAGGTAAGATCCTCCATTTCAACAATAGATTGCCCAGGATTCATACTGGTGTTTACTTTCTTTCTTTCTTCCTTTTTTTTTTTTTTAAGGTGCTTGGGATCAAATTTAGGGCCTTGCTTATCCTGGAAAGTGTTCTATCTCTGTGCTACATCCCTGAACCCCTTATGATTCATATCTTAAGACAACTACCACACATCTTTTTAATTCAACCTGAGCACATAGACTTACTTTTATTAGCTTGTTAACAAACAGAGCCATGACAAGGGGCCGGTGTCAAGTGTGCTGCCACTGGCCAGAGGAGCACAAAACCTGTAAGGTGCAGGGTGCAATGGTGCACACCTATACAACCAGTTATGCAAGAAGTTGATGCAGAAGGATCAAAGTTCAAGGCCAGCCTGGACAACTTATGGAAACCCTGTCTCAAAATAAAAAAAATATAAAAGGTTGGGGATATAGCTCCAGTGGTAGATGCTTGCCTCACAAGAACAAGGTCCTGGGTTTGATCTGAAGTAACACACACAAACACACAAACACACACACACACACACACACACACACACACATTCCCAAGTAGCAATGGCCCTTTCTATAAAAGGAAACAAAACCTCTATTTAAATAGAAATACAGCCAGGCACAGTAGCATATACCTTTAATCCCAGGCCCTCAGGAGGCTGATACAGGAGGACTTCAAGTACCAGGCCAGCTGTGACAACTTAGCAAGTGTGTCAAGTGTGCTGCCACTGGCCAGAGAAGCACAAAACCTGTAAGGTGCAGAGTGCAGTGGTGCACACCTGTACAACCAGTTATGCAAGAGGTTGATGCAGAAGGATCACAAGTTCAAACTAAAAAATAAAAAGGACTGGGGATGTAGCTCAAAGGTAAGAGACATCCCCTAAGTTCAATCTCCAATACCAATAAATAAATAAATAAATAAATAAATAAATAAATAAATAAATAAATAAATAAATAGATGTAATCAAGCTGGATGGCACACAATTGTAATCCTGGCTACTCAGAGGAGGCTGGGGCAAGAGGACTGCAAGTGTAAGGCTAACCTTGGAACTCAGGAAGACCCTGTCTTAAAAAATAATAAAAAAGTGTGGGGAGGGGGTGTGGTGCTGCTAGGGATGCAGTTAGTTCAGTGGTAAAGTGCTCCTGGGTTTAATCCCCAGTATACAAGAGGGTGGTGGTGGTGGGGGGAAACAAACCATAAAAATGCAAGACTTGGGCTGGGGTTGTGGCTCAGAGGTAGAGCGCTGACCTAGCACATGCAAGACTCCGGCTCAATCCTCAGCACCACATAAAAATAAATTTTTTAAAGGTATTGTGTCCAAATACAACTAAAAATTAAATATTTTTAAAAAATGTAAGACTTACCCTGCAATTCCCAAGAAACCTCTCAATGGTAAAACTCCCCAAACGACACCCAGCACCACAGCGATGATCTGTCGGAACCAGTAGATCACATCTAAAAATTCATCCTGTAGAAAAAACAAATAATGCATCCATTATCTGAAATGGTGCCATAGCTATAAGTGGGGAAACAAAAAGAAAAAAGAAAAAACTTTCTGCTAAACACATCTTTCAGGGAATGGTATGTAATTCCTGTTATCACCTCTTATGTACACTAAAATGTGGCAGGAAACAATATAGTCATCTTAAGTGATTACTTCCGGAGCCTGTGCTCTACATTAAAATTCATTTGCTTTTTTTTTCCCTTTTTTTTTTTTAAAGCTGTATAAATAAAATAACTTGTAACGACATGACTTTAATAATAATTGTGCTACTGACCACATGTAAGTCTTAGCTGATCGGGAAGACCTACATAGTCCTTGGGTAGAAGAGCTATTAACCTAGTAAGTACCACCTTCTTACAAGGGATTTTTGAATAAGTCACAGAAGAAAAGATCGGAAATAAAATTGTTGGAGGCAGGTGACAGTATGGCTAAATTCCACAGAAGGAAACAGAAGACTCAGGTTTCTGAATTGCCCTAGATTTCAAAAACCAGTCCTTATACCAAGAAAGACAGAAATGACACAGCAGATCATCAAGAGACAGCAGATTTTGCAAGAGCTGGGCAGGGCTGGGGGCAGGACAAGGGCACCTTTGGGAAGTTCCTACCATCCCCCCTTACCGGAACTCAAGGAAGGAAAACGCAACTTCAATAGTCCAGAAAAAAACAATGAAAAGACTGCAAATATAACATTTTCTTCAGACTACCTGGAATCAAGTTGTTGTGATAGCCCCTCCAGATATATCATGGAGCAGAGTTAGGAAACATCCATTCAGCTTCTCTGTATGTGACCAGTAAGAACATCCTGAAGCCCCAACCATTTATTACATGTATCTGGTATTAATTCCTTTTTTTAAAAAAATAATTTTTAAAACATTTGTTTTTTAGGTGTAGATGGACACGACCCAATGCCTTTATTTCTATGTGGTGCTGAGGATCGAACCCGGGTCCCACCCATGCTAGGCGAGAGCTCTATCGCTGAGCCACAATTCCAGCCCCCAATATATATATTTAATTGTAAGTGGTCACAATACTATCTATCTATCTATATTTATGTCTTGGTGACCGAACCCAGTGCTCAGGCTTGCTAGGCAAGCGCTCTACTTTCCTCTTACACACTAACCCCAAAAAGTGATCGCAGACTCATACACATTAAGGTATTCAGTATTTCTCACTCAACAACTAAGCCATAGCAGCTCACCATTAAGCGCGCCTCAGTACGTTCTAAACTTTGATGCATCATGGCACGACCCACTTCAGTGACTGATTGAGTACTGGGGGATTATGCATGGAGGGTACCTGGCACAGGTAGTATTGAGGACTAGTCTGGTACCGTTACTGTCTGTGCTAACTTTCTCAAGATTGAACTGGGAGTAAAAGGCGGAGGCTTAGTCGAAGCTCACTCACGCCAAGCGGGCACTTGCCCTGCCGGCAGATGACAATTCTTCTGTCCCCATTTCACAACTCCCACGTGACCAGGCGGCTTCATCCAGAAGCGAGCTCTGCTGTCAAGCCCGTGCCCGCCAAGTTCGCCCCGGCAGCCTTGGGGCGCCGGCCCCACCATCCCACTCTCTCACGGCCGGGCGGGGACAGGCCCAGGCCCACCAGGCCGTCCCCTCAGCCCCAGCCGACTCTTCGAACCTGCGCCTTCGCCAGGCCCCCGCGCACCTTGTCCTCCCAGGCCGCGTCGCTCCGCAGCACTTTGCTCCAGACTGAGACTTTGAGGGCCCCGTTGGCCAGCTGCGGCTGAGGCGGCTCCTCCTTCCGCCGCCCGCCGCTCATCCTCCAGTCGCGCCGCCCGGGCCGGGCCTGGGGCGCGCGAGCCGAGCCAAAGGTAGTCGGAGTCTGATGTCGCGAGTCACGGCGCGCGGTGCGGCGGCGGCAGCCGCAGGTTCAGCGGTCCGGCCCTATAGCGCGCTGCGAGTCCTCTCACTTAGCCAAGCTGCCGGGCTTTGCTCGCTCTACCGAGCAGGCGCCGCGGAGGGAGGGGCAGCGCCGCGCTTCATGCGCTCCCGTCGACGTGCCCACGCAGCCAATCGGGAAGCACGCAGTTGTCCGAGCGAAAGAACGGCCATCGCCTGGGCGCAGGCGCACTGCGCGAGGCGGAAGTGACGGTAAGCTTCCGTCCGACGCGCGGTAGGGTGAGAGGGAAGGGACAACACTTGCGGGGAGGCGTCACGAGCGCACGGAGGCGCTGTGGAGATTGAGGAACCGCAACAGAGGAGAGAGCAGAGGTTGGACATGAGCGTCGCCCACTTAGTTACAGCTAGTCCCTTGAGCCACGGCTGGAGCGGCCCTGTCTTTGTGGAGGAGGCCTTGCCACCCTCCCGCCTGCAGAACCGAGATCTTACCCCCCTGGGAGTCCCACGCTGCCCTCGGGATCATTCTTCCCTGAACCTACAAGTTCTGCAGGACCTTGTTCAAGATGTTAACTCTTAGTTGTGACAGCTTAGTGTCGTAACTTGCCCGGCACCTTCTGTTGGCAAATGTGAACCCTCAGACCCCAAGAGAGGAAATAATTTCTAAGGCAAATTGGAACAAGCTGAGATCTCTTCGGGGATATAAGATGGAGAAGACACTTTATTAGGTATCAGGATATCTGACTGTTCATCTATTGTGCCCTCTCTAGGTGCTACTTCACAAAGTGTATTTCTGACCAGCAGCAGCTGCATCTGCTCACCCTAGACCTACTCAATCAGAAATTCTGGGAATGGGTCCCTTATCGAAAGTATCGGTGTTTTAACAAGCCCTGCAGGTGGTGCCACGCACAGTGTGCGATGAAGTGAATTGAGAGATCAAGACACATCACTTCTGTGCAGTGGGCTTATAGAGGCCAAGTAACTTGCCTGGAATCTCTCTCAGTCGTTGGATCTGATTAAAATCTGCTCTTAACTCTTTTTTTTTTTTTTTTTTTTTTTGTACCAGGGATTGAACCTAGGGCGCTTAACTCTAGCCCTTTTTTATATTTTTTTAAAAAATTAAAAAAATTTTTTTTAGTTGTCGATGGACCTTTATTTTTGTTTATATACTGTGCTGAGAATTGAACCAGTGCCTCACAAGTGCTAGGCAAGCCCTCTACCACTGAGCTACAACTCCAGACCCCTTTTCTATATTTTATTAGAGACAAGGTCCAAGGTCTCGCTAAGTTGCTTAGGGCCTTGCTACATTGCTGAGGCTGGATTTGAATTTGCAATCTTCCTGCCTCAGCCTCCTGAGTCGCTGGGATTACAGGCGAGGTGTCCAGCTCCTTATAACTTTTTTTTTTTTGATAGGTGGACACAATAGCTCTATTTATCTATTTTTTTTTAAAGAGAGAGAGAAGAAGAGAGAGAGATAGAAATTTTAATATTTATTTTTAGTTTTTGGCGGACACAACATCTTTGTTTGTATGTGGTGCTGAGGATCGAACCCAGGCCGGATGCATGCCAGGCGAGCGCGCTACCACTTGAGCCACATCCCCAGCCCCTATCTATTTTTTTTTTTAAGTTTTTTTTAGGTGTAGTTGGACACAATACCTTTATTTAATTAATTTATTTTTATGTGGTACTGAGGATTGAACTCAAGGCCTCACACTTGGTAGGCAAGCGCTCTGCCACCAAGGTACAGCAACAACCCTCCTCAACTCTTGAAGAGTTAAGGTGGCCCACTCCTGTAATCCCAATGGCTCAGGAGACTGAGATAGGAGGATCATGAGTTCAAAGCCAGTCTCAGCAAAGGCGAGGCACTAAGCAACTCAGTGAGACCCTGTCTCTAAATAAAACACAAAATAGGGCTGGAGATGGGGCTCAGTGGTTGAGTGCCCCCTAGTTCAATTTCTGGTACTAAAAAAAAAAGACTTAAAATGAATTAGGTCAGAAAAGCCTTTGCCTTTGCTGCCCAGAACAGTAATAACAGTGGCTCAGGAGGCTGAGGTAGGAGGATCACAAGTTCAAAGCCAGCCTCAGCAATTTAGAGAGGCCCTAACAACTGAGGGAGACCCTGTCTCTAAATAAAATACAAAAAAGGATTGGGGATGTGGCAGTGTTTAAGCACCCCTAGGTTCAATTCCCAGTACCAAAAAAAAGCTTTTGCATACCTGTCAACATTCATCTGTAGTTAGGTCTTCACTTTAGGTGAACAACAGAATCTCCTACAGAGCTTTTCCCAATACCTTATTTGATATTTTCCATTCCAGTCCTACTCCCAAGATTGAGTGAGGCTGGACCCCAAAGGTGATACACACTAACAGACTTTACTGTCTAGAACGATGGAAGGGCCTTACCTTGATATGAATGTACAAACTTAGTATAGTTTTCACATGAATCTTGTTCTTTCCAGCCCTTCCTTTGCTGAATCAATTCCCCTTTCATATGCAAAGTATAGCCTAACCAACTTGCTCTAGTTTGGAAGAGTATCATTGGTATAAACCTCTTTTACAGACTCCCTGGTGGCATGTAGTTCTGGCAACAAACTGATTACTCTATCATAGAAAGTTGAAAGAAAACCTAGCCCATGACCAGAAGGTAAGTTTTCACCCTATTTAGTCTAAAAGTGAAGATATGTAATGTGGAATCCGATCTGTGGGAGATTAGGGAAGACAGCTGTGAAGGAAGAGGGAGGAGTACATTCAGGGAGATGAAACCATGTAGGCTAATAGTAAGGAATGAAACCACAAGTAGGAAAAAGAGCAGGAAGACTCATGTAGAAGAATTTGGTTTTATCGCAAGGGTTGAGGAAGCCACAGAAAGGATTTGAACAGGGGAAGTGATCAGGTTTGCAATGTAGAAAGATCACTGTGGATCTGAGGACGTAGCTCAGTGTAAGAGTGCTTTCCTAGCGTGTGTAAAGCCCAGGGTTCGTTCCCCAGTACAACAAAAAAAGAAAAAGAAAAAGATCATCTGGCTGCTATTTGAGAGACTGGATCAGAGTGGGCAATTAAAATCATTAGGTGAGAGTTTCTAGGACCCTGAAGATGGACAAAATTGTACTAAAAAGGATTTTTTTTTTGCTGCATGTGGTAGCCCATACCTGTAATTCCAGCTACTTGGGAGGCTGAGACAAGAGGACCAAGAGTTCCAGGTCAGCCTCAGCAACTTATGAGACTCTGTTTAAAAAAAGGGTGGAGGACCAGGCACAAGTACTTAAGTGGTTCGGCATTTGCCTAGCATACCAAGCTCCTGTCTTCAATCCCCAGATCTGCAAAAAAAAGCCAGGTGAGATGGCTGTAATGCCAGCTACTCAGGAGGCTGAGGCATGAGGACCACAAGTTTGAAAATAGCCTGGGCAACTTCATGATGCCCTATCACAAAATAGAATAAAAAGGACTGGTAGTATAGCTCAATGGTAGAGCACTTGCCTAGCATTTGCAATACCCTGGGTTCAATCCTCAGTACTTGAAAAAAGAAATAGTTCTTTGGAGCTGAGGAAGATGTAGCTCAGTGGCTTATACAGCATGCCTGAGGGTTTGATTCCCCCGTAGTGAAGGAAAAAAAAACTTATAAATTTAAAAAATTTAAATTGTATGAAATATACATAACAATATATATATGTATATATATAATTTTAACAATTTTTAAATGTACATTTCAATGACATTAAGTACATTTATTTCAGTTGGGTATTGTGGTACACCACACCTGTGTTCCCAGGTACTGGGGCAGCTGAGGCAGGACTATCTCAAATTCAAGACCTGCTTCAGCAACATAGTGAAACTCTGTTTCAAAATAAAAATAAAAAGAGTGCCCCTGAGTTGACTCCAGTACTGGAAAAAAAAAAAAAAGACAGTCATGGTGGTGCACACATATAGTCTCAGCCACTAAGGAGGCTGAAGCAGGAGAATTACAAGTTTGAGGATTACAGTCTCAGAAACTTAGTGAGGCCGTAAGCAATTTAGGAAGATCCTATCTCAAAATAAAATTTCAAAGACAGTTTAAAGGGCTGAGGATAGATCTCAATGGTAAGGCACCCCTGGGTTCAATTCTCAATGCCAATAAATAAATAAATAAATAAAAATAAAAAATAGAAGTACATTTCTTTGTTGTGCAGCCATCACCACCATTCATTTCAGAAGTTTCTCATCTTGTGAAACCAACACTTCATATTCATTAAACAATGACTCTCCTTTCTCCAGCCCTTAACTGTCATCATTCTGCTTTCTATGAATTTGACAACAAGATTTTTAAATTTTTAATTTGTTATATATGACAACAGAATGCATTACAATTCACATTACACATATAGAGCATACTTTTTCATATCTCTGGTTGTACACAAAGTAGAGTCACACCATTCATGTCTTCATACCTACTTAGGGTAATGATATTCATCTTATTCCCCAGTCTTTCCTTCCCTGGTACCCACTCCTTTCCCCCTCTCACCCCTTTGCCCTATCTAGAGTTCATCTAATCCTCCCATGCTCCCCCTCCCAACCCTACTATGAATTAGTCTCTTTATTTATTTATTTAATATTTATTTTTTATTTTTCGGCGAACACAACATCTTTGTTTGTATGTGGTGCTGAGGATCGAACCCAGGCCGCACGCATTCCAGGTGAGCGCACTACTGCTTGAGCCACATCCCCAGCCCCAAATCAGTCTCTTTATATCAGAGAAAACATTCAACATTTGGTTTGGGGGGAATTGACTAATTTCACTTAGCATTATATTCTCCAACTTCATCCATTTACCTGCAAATGCCATGATTTTATTCTCCTTTAATGCTGAGTAATATTCCATTGTGTATATATACCACATTTTTTTTACCCATTCATCTACTGAAGAACATCTAGTTTGGTTCCACAATTTAGCTATTGTGAATTGTGTGGTTATAAACATTGATGTGGCTGTGTCCCTATATTATGCTGTTTTTAAATCCTTTGGGTATAGACTGAGGAATGGGATAGCTGGGTCAAATGGTGGTTCCATTCCCAGTTTTCCAATGATTCTCCATACTGCTTTATATATTAGCTGCACCAATTTGCAGTTCCCCCAGCAATGTATGAGTGTGCCTTTTTCCCCACATCCTCACCAGCACTTATTGTTGTTTGTATTCTTCATAGCTGCTATTCTGACTGGAGTGAAATCTTAGAGTAGTTTTGATTTGCATTTCTGTAATTGCTAGAGATGATGAGTATTTTTTCATATATTTGTTGATTGACTGTATATCATCTGCTAAGAAGTGTCTTTTCAGTTCCTTGGCCATTTATTGATTAGGTTATTTGTTTTTTTGGTGTTAACATTTTTGAATTCTTGAGTGGGTTCGGTGGTGTACGCCTTTAATCCCAGCAGCTCAAGAGGCTGAGACAAGAGAATAATGAGTTCAAAGCCAGCCTCAGCAATGGCGAGGCACTAAGCAACTCAGTGAGACCCTATCTTTATTTATTTATTTTTTTTAATTTTTATTTTTTTTATTGGTTGTTCACAACATTACAAAGCTCTTGACATATCATATTTCATACATTAGATTGAAGTGGGTTA